GCCGGGCAAGGTTGTCTCAGCCTTTCATCCCTTCAGTGGGTCGATAAATGAGTACCAAGCAAGCTTGGGAACTAAACACTGGGGGTTTTGCGTTAGGCTGACCATCTAATCGAAACATCTGCTCCTGCACCCCAGAGCCCAAGGGCAAGTAAACTGAGATGGGCACAGTAGGCCTTGGCCCTCTTTGGGCTGTCGTGCCACTGAGTTTAGTTTAATAAGATTAGACTACATTTCTAAATAACTTTATCTTAAAATGTAGCGTGGAATTACATAATAATAATAAAACAAAACAATTCTCTTAGTTTTAAACTCTTGAATTAAAAACGTAACAATAGCAGTACAGGAAAATAGCCTTAAATTAGGGATACAAAAATATTTACAGAAAGACAATACTTGTGTGACTTTTATTAATTTTGTACTGATGACAACCAAAATAATATGGAAATGAATGAAGGAAAAACTTGATCCTACCACGTGATTTTATGGCCAATAAAACTGCATGGACGACAATGGAAAACTGCGACACCATCATTAGATTTTTATATATAGTAAGAAACAAAAGCTTTTTTGGGGGAAAAGAAGAATTATTATTATTGCATAATTAGAGTTAGTCTTACCTTGTTAAATCTTTGCTTAAGATCATCAATAATAAACTTGATTCCTTCACCAATCAAACGGGGACTTTCAATTCCATGCATCAAATCTGGCATATTTTCTATCATTATGTCCGTCAAAAAAGAGCGCATCATTTCAAAATCATTCAATTTTTTATAATTCTCGTTATAAAAATTTTCCTGTTCAAAGAATAGTTTTTATGTTTAATCATTGTATCATTTGATTATACTATTAAACTACATATATATAATCATCAGATAAATAAAAGGGTTATATTACCTAAAAACTGACAAATAAGGCCAGAAATTTTATAATCATTATATAAAAACTTTCGATTTTTCTAAAACACACTCTAAAAATTTAACCATTCTATCTTTATTTACTATCTAAATACCTGTTCTTTTTTGCGGTGGGGAAAAAGTAAACAATTAATCAGTACTGAGCAACTTCAAAATAATGTAAAAAACTGAAAAACATGTATCAACATAATTAATTCCATTTTTTTTATTTCTTCTAATTTTTTTCCTTGCTGGTGACTTTACATTATTATATTAAGAAAACACGTTTTTAATATTTTCCCATAAAAGATAACTGTATTCAGTATCATTTGGTATGATGCTATGATACCTGTTGACCAACTCTTGATAGGAAAATTTTCCACTATCACGCAATTTTTTTCACTGTAACATCCGAAAATCACAATCCAGGGGTTGTAAAAAACCTATTTCCACAGTATCTAAAACTACACTGTATGGTGCAGTTTAATAAAGTGCCGAATATACTAATTTTAGATATAATAGTACATTTGGTACAGATTAAAACTGCACCAATGATTATGATAACCAGAAGTACCTGTATCATCGGCGTCATTAATAGCATGAAGATTTTTTAGGCTTTATCTGAAAGAATTAGTACTATTTCTCAATTAATTATCCTTTTTGGTATAACACACCTTATTTTTAATTCAATTAATACTCATCAAAAATTAATTAGGCATCATTGAGGTCAGTAATCATAGCCCTTTTTTTACGTTTCTCCTAAGCAAATTTGTACCATTTTTCTATTACTATTTCTCTATTTGTATCATTTCTCTATTTTATTAATTTTATTTAGTTTACTTTTTAGTACATAGTTCATTTTTTTCTTTCATTTAATACGTATAACTAAGATTAATTAAGCATTATTGGGGCCACATTTTTGAACATTTCTCCTAAAGGAATTTGTACCATTTTTCTATTACTATTTCTCTATTACTATTTCTTTATTTGTACCATTTCTTCATTTTATTAATTTTATTTAGTTTACTTTTTAGTACATAGTTCATTTTTTTTATTGTAATACTAAATTAATGTATAACTAAAATTGATTAAGTGTTATTGGGGCCACATTTTTGAACAATTCTCCTAAAGAAATTTGTACCATTTTTCTATTACTATTTCTCTATTACTATTTCTCTATTTGTACCATTTCTCTATTTTATTAATTTTATTTAGTTTACTTTTTAGCACATAGTTCATTTTTTTTCCTTCGTGTAATACTAAATAAATGTATAACTAAAATTGATTAAGCATTATTGGGGCCAATAATCATAACATTTTTGAACATTTCTCCTTAACGAATTTGTACCAGTTGTAGAATTTGCACGAATTTGAACAGGTTTGCTAATGAGGATCAGTGTAAACATTAAACAGGAAAAAATGTTTTCAAAAGGCTAAAAATTCAGAAATTGTGAATTGTTTATTTTATTTATTTCTTCAAGTTTAGAAAATGGGCAAAATTACTTATTTTTGAAAATGACATACTGATTTCAAGTTAAGTATGAATGTATGTAAAGCATTCACAACCTATTTATTTTTACTTTCATTAAATAAAATCACCCGGAGAGTATTGTGATCATTTAATTCTTTGCCACTTGAAATACTTTTAATATTTAACTTTATTTCTTTTGGTACTTTCATTTTTATTCAAAACATAAAAAAAATTCATGAATATATTTTTTTTCTGGATGAAACTAAATTATTTTTATTTAATATTTTTAGTTACTTTTTTTCATGAATAAATTGTTTTTTTTCGAAAATTATCAATCCTTGAAAATTTTTATAAGAAAATGCCTACTGTTTATATGAATTACAAACATAGTTCAAAGTAATAAGAAAAATTTTGGACGAAAAAAGTTTGAAAGGAAGTTTTCAAATTTAAATCAGTTAAATACGCAGCACTTTGTACGCAGTACGTTGCCACGCCGTAATTTTTTTTTTTAAAAAAAACTTAGTAATATATAATGAACTTCGATCCAAACTTATAGCTTTACCAAAAACTGATATTTGTTTTGAGAATGTCTATCCAATTCTTGCTGTGTTTCCTGCGTCGGATTACCAATAGGCGAACTAGGAAAAAAAAGATCATCATGTGAAATGTCTACTCTAGCAAGGGCTCCTGTATAGTCATTATCTTCGGGCTCGGTCACAGTTTCGTCCAAGTCCACTGTAACGTCAAGAAATGATCCAGATTTCGTCCCATCCTCAGATCCAGATTTTGACTCATCCTCTGATCCAGACTTTGACTTATCCTCCGATCCAGATTTTGACTTATCCTCAGATCCGTGTGATTGAGATTTTGATTCATCCTCAGATACAGATGATTCACTCTCTTCTGTATCCTTTTTATTCTCACTCGACATATTCACTAATTTTCCTATAACAAAGAAATTTTGATTGTAAATCCAATTTAAGTATTGTCGATATAAAATCTGATCGGGTAATGACAGAAAGATTATAGTTGAAAGTGTGAAAAAAATTGTTTTTACTTCTCTTAAAATATTTTGCCATCTCTTAAGATTCAGGTTTTTTTAAAAATCAACCCTTGTTTGCATTGTCTGATTTTATATTAAAAAATGCCTTTTAAAATTTTAAATATATTTTTATGTATATTAAAATTATATAAAACATTTATATTTTTATGTATTTATTTATTTATATAACGTTATTTATTTATTTTTACTTATTTTTCTTATAACAATCAAAGAGTATTTGAAACTTTTCTTAATTTTTCGCAAAAAGTTTGAATTTTAATTGGAAAGAATATCAGCTCTTGAGCTCTGAAATACAATATAGTTCTTTCTAATATTCTAAATTGTATTTTTTTAGTTATTTATTATCAACCCAATATACATACTAGACTTGTAACAAGTAAAAATTAAAGGTATAAGTAAAAGGAACTACCAAATAAAGTTTCCAAAAAAATATTGAGATAATTAATTCAAATTATACTCTGATATAGGGAATAATTACACTTCTACAAATATTAGTGAAATCAAATATTAATTAATAAATATTGGAACTTTAATATTGAAAATTATGCTGTCTACTACCAATATACTGTATATTCACACTTATTCGGGTATGCACATTATGTTGGCTTAGAAATAAAAAAATAATTTTAACTATTTTGCTATTTGTTATTAAGACATTGTACAAATTAGTTTACACTAAGTCATTTATAATTCTAAACATAATACTAAAGTAACATATAGAACGCATTTTATCAAAATAATTGCTTACAAAAACGGGCTTTAATTATTGATTATGTAAATAGCTTTCTTTTGGGAAATTTTGAAATTTTCTTCTAATTTAAATTTTGTGTAACTGAATTTGTTTCATAAGTATTTTGATTTATATCGAATTAGTGTTCAAATTCATCATGCTGCTGTTTGCTTTCATTTAACAAATAATTATGTTGAAAAAAATTTAAAACTGAGTTTTAATTTAGTGCAGCGTGAAATAAGGAATTTACGTTAGAGAACCAAATTAGAAGGTAATTAAAAATTATTTTTTGTATTAAAAATATGAATTTAAATTTTAATTATCTATAACAAAATGAAAACATTTTCTGTGTATCTCTCTTATAACACCAGAACCATTTATACTAGCGTCCTAAAATTTGGGTAATTTTAATCATTATGTAATTTCTATGAGATAGTACTTAAAAGACGTATGAAAAATTTATTTTTTATGGGTTAACTCGTTATTGATGAAAATTATACGGCTGACGATTCTGTTTTATTAAAAATTTATAAACGGTAACATCAATGACATTCGTTTGCCTATAGCTCTCATTTATCAAAAAAAAAAAAAAAAAAAAAAAAAAAAAAAAAAAAAAAAAAAGGTTACTGCGCGTTTTTTAACAGTATTAAAATATTTTTTCTATTCGTATCTGGCAGATAAACTCTATGTTCAACTTGAACGTTCAGACTACGTCATCAAATTAGAATTCCTATTTATTTATTTGAAACTATAAGTGGCTGGGTGGCGCAATTGGTTTGTCGTCGGCCTTCTGAGCCCAAGTCTGCGGGTTCGATCCCCGGCCCAGACACCGGATTTTCAGGATGCAGAAAATCCTCAGTGGCCATGTCGAATGATTATGCGGCATGTAAAAGATCCCTGGAGGGCCTTATTGGCTCTTGGCATTTCCGACAAAATTAAATTCCTAGTGCACTTTATCTTAATTCCTAGGGCACTGCCATCTAGTGTGGCAGAAACTAGACATCCAAATTAACATGGCCAACGGTATCTCACCCATTGTGGTGGTTCTGAAAGAGTGGATACCACTTCTGGAGAACTCACTAGGTCTGCTCATCGGGAAGACTGATTGTGCAGCTCATAGAAAATAAAGAATATTTGAAACTATGTGTTTATTTTGTTTATAATTATTTTATAGCGTCTGTAATTGGATACTTGCACTTTAAGAAGAAGATCATTTATACCCACACATGTATCCTATGACGTCAGCACTAGCTAATCGTTTATAAACAAGATGGTGTGTTAAAGTCGAGTTAAGTCTATTTATGTAAGCTAGAATGTTAATTAACGTGAAGTTAATTTAATACAACACCGTATCGCACATCGAATTTGTTACAATGTAATTCTTTCTCATCTACATCTTTTACTTAGCTTAAAGTCCCATAGGGGACTGATCGTTAAGACGCATTTCCCAGCAGATTACCGGAGTCAAGCAACACTGGCTGCTATCAGTGTGCGAGTGGGTGACCACTTATATCAGCCTGCGTAGGGACAGAGGGTGTGCGGTATTGGTCCTCGTTAAACTGTTCTGTCGTAAAGTACTCGACTTCGCGTACAGGTCGTCGGGCTACCGAAGCGGGGGTGCTATCCTTTCTGCTAAGGATCAAAATTGTGATGGCTTGTATTCGGATCATACTCAGGGATGTTTCCCAGACCGTCGCCAATAGCCCATTGTGCAGCTCTATTGCGACGTAAATGAACTGCAACAACTTAGATTTATTATTTTTGTGATTTATTGCAACCATCATATATTTTTGTTTTGTGTATCTGGCAATTTTGTTACATAATTCGTTTGTTTATGGTTAATATGGCCTCGTGCCTGTCTTAGTGTTAAGTTCAAAAATATAGTGAAAGAATTCAAATCTCAAGAGAATTGATGCTTGACGCGCTTGAATTACTCGAAATAGAGTGGAAAGAAAGGTTGCTAACGTAAGCAAATGCCGCATTGCAACAACCATTGAGGATTTGTTAGGGGAGGAGATACTCACCTACCAAATACGTCACTTGCAGTTGCAGGTATCCCATTGGTCAGCTGAAAACGACTTCACGCTTCGTTGTGTTCGTTAAATGCCGTGATTTAGAAGTCATCAGCTATCAGCTTTGACCCATTCACGTGATGTGGCTTGAAATCTGTTATTTAACTGATAAACAGAAATGTTCACATTTTAAGAAATGATAATTTATAATTCTGATGGTCGGATAAATTCTTTTCTTCCATCCAATGCATACCTTAAACTCATTTAATAATACATAAAAAGAGTTCTCAAAGTCACGCCTACCTCCCTCTCCAAATATTACGGAAGCAAATTGTCACATTCTCAAAAATACGTTTTTTTATTTATTTTTTTTTTAATTAAAGCGGCTTTTATTTCTGATAATAATAACATTTTATGGAATTTATGTGAAAAATTTGAAATAAAAGAGAATAAATGCGTATCGGATTTAGTGTTTCAGCTCTGGTCCACATAATATTGTCATCCAATTAGATAAGAATAAAATAGTAAATATAAAAGAAGATATAATATAAAAATATAAAAGAAGGTGAATTAACAGTTCTTTTTTTTCGTAAGTATATAAAACTGCTATAAGTACCATTTTTTGTGAATGAAAGTAACGGAATTGAAATTAGTTTAATTTCAATAAAATAAGGATAGCGATGACATTAAAGAATCGATAAAAGAAAGTTTCTCGTAAAAGTAGAAAGAATTATGGAACAACGAAATAAAGCATTTTTTCGAATATCTTTATGTTTTATTGGCTGAAAAACAGTGATTTATTAAAACTAAAATACTTTAAATGATGAAATATTTTCAGTTATTCTGAATGTTCTATGTTCATAGCTTTTTTTTATTAAACTAATGCGTTTTTTTTATTAAACTAAATATGATTTTTTTAAAATAAAATTAAAGGTTGCATTTCATTTTTAAATGGAAACAAAGTTGTTAAAACGCTTAAAAAATTCGAAGCTCCAATTTTTAAAAATTTAAAGGTCTTAATAATTTTAAAAATATAAAATAAGAACAAAATCCATGCTCGCTATAAACTGTAAAATCATGAACTAAAGTGAAATTTGGTAAACGAACATAAAAAAAAGCAATTTTAATGTGACCATTCATATAAAACAATTCTAACAGTACATAAATACTCAATTTTAAATGTATTGACTGAGTTAATGCAAACATTTGCTTACCTCCTTGAAACAAATTTACTTTTGGTTTTCCTGTTCTTCATAGAAAATTTTTATTAAGAGTGGGAATTATTGATAACACGATTTGTGTTTAAAAAAAAAGACAGTGACAAATAATTTTAATAAGTCTCAATTAAAGTTAAATTTTAATTTCCAAAGTTGAACAAAATAAAAATTAACAGAAAATTTATGGAATTTAATAGAGAGTGAGTGGAACGTTTGTCGCAGAAAAAGTCCCTTGACAAAATGACCTAAGTAAATGTCAACAAGAGTCATCCCCTTGGATCCCTTTAAAAGCTTATAGTGCTGCTTTGAGGAGAACTTCTCCTGACTAAAAGTCTGGGGGGCAGAGTTGGCCAAAAATGTAATCGATTACATTTTTTGATTACAGTAATCAATTACTTGTAATCATGATTACAATTTTCAAAAATTTTGATTACAGCTGTAATCATGATTACATTATTGATTACAGTAATCAATTACTTGTAATCGTGATTACAAAGTTTGATTACAGCTGTAATCATGATTACATAGTCGATTACAGTAATCAATTACTTGTAATCATGATTACAATATTACAAAAATTTTGATTACAGCTGTAATCATGATTACAATTTTGATTACAGTAATCAATTACTTGTAATCATGATTCCAAGGTTTGATTACAGCTGTAATCATGATTACAT